AGAAACATTTTCTTCACATTTAAACTTTGCATATGTGGTTTGATAGAGGACCTTTATTGGTATTTTAATGTGAAAATATTGACTGCTTATTTATTTTTAAACTGACCCTAGGCCAGTTGGTTAGGGCAAATGGGGTTCTGTAGAACCTGCAAGAAATCCAGAAGCATGTTTTTGTTCATGTTCATCTCATGTTCATTTTAACCACGTGTGTGAAATTGACACACTGTCCCTGTGTTTTTGTAGTTCCCAGTCTCCCCATATTGGAGGGGTATCTGGTTAGTGGAAGGTGAAAGTGACTCTACTCTAATTTAGTGTAAAGTGAGAGAAATTTATATTGACTGTTTCCAAGTAACATTTCTATAAAAATCTGTTCTTAGCAACACAGCATTGAACAACTGAACACTATTAAGACAGTTGCCATATATAATCACCACACTTAGAAAAAGAAGCGTATAAGATGTAAAAGACCTAAACTTGAAATTCAAATTAACACGTGGTAAACTGTGGCATTGTGCTTTCAGGGAGAGTCGGAGAATGTTGGTAAACCAATGCATAAAGCAGCACAGCCTTCAGTAGCTGGGGATGTTGAAACATAAAATATTACTGCTGAGGTGGTCTCAAGTCTGGTACATTCCATTTGGATCAGAGGAACAAGAAGCACTGCACTAGCTGATTAGTCATCAGTGACGCACATCGGCACTCTGAGCTGGAATGTAGGGCAAGGGAATCTCCTCCTACCACTGACTCGCATGTCCTGTAGATTGATACCAAATGAAAACGTTTGATGGGGACGCCGAGTGTGTTGAGGGTTAAAGGGTAAAGGTTCAGCGTCTGTTTGCTTTGTGGGTTCTCCTGCAGGCATTCTTTTCTGGATTAACCCCTATGATACGAGATTCTTTTCATCTGGCATGCTGGATATCCTGCAGAAAATGAAAAAAGTTTGGCAAAGAGAAAAACGCTCTGCCTAGACTCACTGTTGGTTTAAGAATTCATGAATGCATTAATGAATGCTTTCATCTCCTCCTCTCATTGGTCTTCTTGTCTTTTTCCTCTTGTCAGAACAAACGAGACGAACATTTACTGAAGAAGAGAAATGTCCCGCAGGAGGAGAGTCTGGAGGACTCTGATGTCGACTCAGACTTCAAAGGGGTAAGTGTCGGTGTGTGGTGGGTTTGATTTGAGTGAGCGAGATGTAGCGAAACCGGACTATATGGATATCAGGTCAGAAGGGTTAAAAAGGCGGGCAATGTACCGCGTATGGGATGTGTCAATAGGATTCCAGTTTAAAAAACAAAACAAAAAAAACCCCACTTTAATCTCTCATCTTTTTAGATGACGAGGTTGTTAATTAGTATGCCAGGTGATACTGAGAGGAACCCCACTTAATTTTTTTTCAAATTATTATTATTCAGCCTGCATAGTTCTCATACAACCAGGGGAGGATGAAAAATAAAAAGCATGACATTGTGTAATATCTTGCCAGAAGCCTGAACACTAGGTGTCAAAAGCAGGGAGGGTTCATCACACTGTTAAGACTTAACAGTGACTAATGCCATAGAAGATCCCAGTCTTATAAAATCTCAGTACAGACTTTGACTCACTGTAATTGCAAGAATTTTGCAACATTGTTTAGAGTCTTGTAGTTGGGTATAAAACATTTCATTCACCCCATACCAAAGCCCAGAAGAACCGTTTACCCCTTTGGATTGTCAGAAACAAAGGTAGTCTGATATAAAGGTCGAATGTGCAGCTTTCTGCTTTTTTTTTTTTTTTTTTTGTCTTCATCAGTATTATCTGAAAGCAACCAGGAATTTCACATATGTGCACTAGAGGTGCTCCCTAATGAACTAGCAGGTGCATATTTACAATACCAGTTTATTATTTGACTTGTGAGGCAGAGAAAGAATGTGTTGCAGTAACAAGAAATACAAAATTGTAATGCACTACTTTGTAAAATGTAAATCTTACAACCAAGCCAACTGTTTAACAATACGAGCAAAATCTGTAGTGATTCTGAATGTGTCACAACAAAACAGCAAGTAGGCTATGCAGCGTTAATGCAAATGGCTAATTTTTGTCTTCACATGATGAGCCATCTTTGCAGTTGGTCTGCAATGTTCTTCATCTTTTTGGAGTCTTTCCTCTCAAAATGATCCCACACTTTGGATTTCCTGTCCAGTCTAGTAAATTTAATGAAGTTAGTTAGTTTGTTATAATTAACCCCGAATAACGAATAAAATGCACCATAGTGACAATGTGTAGCGTTAGCTCTTCACTTGCTATTGATTGCATGTTCTTAGCAAATTACGACATTGCTAATATTCTTCATTTTCTCTTTGCTTAGCAAAATGTTACGCTCGATGCCATTCTACAGGTACGTTTATCTCGTTCGCGCCTTTTAACAAATATTGAATCCTTTCCCAAATGTACCAGCAGTGCTACCTTAACTTTTGGCTAGTTATGCTGATGTCAGTTATGGCTCTTGTTCACTGCAGAATGCTACCAGCGATAATGCGGTTGTACAGCTCAGTGCTGTACAGGCAGCCAGGTGAGTAGCTGATGAAACACTTTTGTATAAATATCAGTTCTTCCTTGTGTTTTCTGGTGTTAACTTTTTTGCATTCAATTTTTTTTAGAAAACTGCTCTCAAGTGACAGAAATCCTCCCATTGATGATTTGATAAAATCTGGGATCCTGCCTATTTTAGTCAAATGCCTGGAAAGGGATGACAAGTAAGTGTGCTTCCTAAGTAGTACTTTTTTATGAAAGTTTTTTAAAATTATTTTGTTTAGCTTTTTGTTAATGTAATAACTTTTATTACTGATCCTGTTGCATCATTTCTCTGCTGCAGTAGAATCATTGTGTGCATGAGTGTTTCCCACTGTGTCCACACGTTAGAGTGTGTGGAGGCATGCAGGGCAGCTGGCTCATCCTCTCAGTACAAACCAAGCCAAATATATCAACATTCCTGTCTCTCGGAGTTCCCCAATTCCCAGGACCTTGTGTCCACTGAGGGGGGGGGCAGGAATGAAAAACTCGAGTGAAAGAGCTTGTAAGGAAGTAATTGTAAAGATTTTACCATGGCAACTAACAGCTGATAGCATCATGTTGACATTATTAGACATTTGTACATCAGGACTGGACTATTAAACTAGTTGATAGGGGGGTTTTGGGTTTTTTACCCCTCTCTATTCCTCCCCACGCCAGCGATCATCACACTTCACTTCACCTAATTGTTGCCAATGCTGTGGCTATATTTAGCAGCTTTAAACACCCCATTTTTTCTTTTTCTTTTTTTTCCCCCTCTTCCCCAAAAGTGCCAAACAAGTAATTAGGGAATAAACGCTCAATAGTGCTGCACTACAATGACAAGCTTTTGCTCTCGGATGGCAGACACAGCACTGCTTTGTATGTTGTTTTCAGTGAGTGGCACTAGCAGCAGTACCCTTAAAATATTCACTGCTGATTACTATTGAAGCTCCTGAACCCAAAAATCGTATTCAGGGCAGCCCTTAATATGTTGCCATAGCGCTGTGGCAGAAACCCAAGCCAGCTCAGCTTGATGTAAAGCCTCACAATAGAATTTACAGCATGAAAACCTCTGCCAATTAAAAATGGACAACCTATCCTTTAGAGGTCTATAAATTATCTGTGAATGCCTGGCAGGGCAGGAAATAAAGCGGGTCTCTTCACAACTGGATACCTCCCAAAAAGAAGCTGTTTTATTCTTTTAAATCCCAGAAGGTGAAACTTAGAAACTTCAGATCATGGCAGGTTGTCTGATGAAACATTTCTTTGGGAAGACGGAATTACCATCCTTTGTTACAATTAGCTAGCATTTGGCTGGTGGGTGGCGTGAGAATCACTTTTATGTGTGTGATTTTTATTTTGTGTTGCATCAGTTTTCCTAAACTCATTTTAATGATGGTTCTCCATTTTGAGTGCAGTTAAACTGAATGATACAGTTTCTAGACCTTTCTGGTGTCAGATTTGTTATCTGTCACAAGATTTTGGACTACCTGTATTAATTCTGCTGTTGTAGTTATCTTTTTCTTGAAAAGCCAGCCGTTGAAAACTCGGTTCTCTAAATGAGCACCACAGTTTGGTTAAAGCATGTTTTGCTCTAATTAGTTAAAGAAGGCCCAAAACAAATGTTAAGAATTTGAAATGGCAAGTTGGGGGGGGGGGGTTGCACATGTATATTATTAATCCCTGCTCCTTCCATTCTGTCTCGTCTACTGCAGAATAAATGAGCTTACTTTGTTTTCTAACTGGTTTTGTTTTCCCTCTGTCTTACAGCCCGTCGCTTCAGTTTGAGGCAGCTTGGGCTCTGACCAACATTGCCTCTGGGACGTCAGCACAGACCCAGGCTGTGGTGAAATCCAGTAAGCTGACCCCACGGTTCATGTTCCCCTGTGTTACCCCTTCAGTCTGTGTTTATATTCTGTCTGCAATTTGCCAAGCAAGCATATTTATTTATTTTTTCACCCAGTAAGGCTTAGTTAGTTCTTGGGATAATGCTTTTTTTTTTTTCTGCCTCAAAGTAAAACATGGTTATCTAATAAAACTAACATGACTCTATAGCTAAAACCATGTTTAATATTCAAAAGATAAGATGGCTGTTAGAGATGTGGAACAACTTAGTTTGAAATTATGAAAAGCCCCATATTAAACACATGCATGTTTGCTGAGAGTTATAATGAGGGGTAATTTATGCTTAGACGTCTACATGGCACATTTAATCATGTTGGCATTTAAAAAAAAAAAGACACAGCATCCCTTTCTGTTGCTGGGAAAGCTTTGTGCTCACTTGCTATCGGTCTAACATATTTTAATGATAAATTTGTAAATTTTGAAGATCATGAACAAATTGGTTTAGACAAAAGGTTTCTTTATGGTCCAGCCAGTGCATCGAATGAATCAAACTATAATGGTTGTAGCGTATGTATATATTTGCATTGCACTTCCATTTTCTCTATATGAGTGGGCCAATCTTGACAAAATTTGCATAAACACTGCCAAGGCACTTTGAGTGCCAACATCTATGTGACACACATTTTATACAGATCCCACAATCATCCTTTTTTTTTTTTTTTTTTTTTTTTTTTTACATTTGAGAGTTCAGTTAAGCACCAAATGGAGTGTTGGATTGGAATAGTGTGTCACACAATATAATGTACACTATTGCCAAAAGTATTCATTCAGTCATTCAATTCAGGTGTGCCAATTGCATCAATGTTAATATGTGTATAAAATCAAGCACCTAGGCATGCAGGCTGCTTCTACAAACATTTGTGAAAGAATGGGTTGCTCTCAAGAGCTCAGTAAATTCCAGTTTGGTACCATAATAGGATGTACCCAGTGCAGCAAGTCCACTTGTGAAATTTTCTTGCTATTAAATATTCCACAGTTGACTGTTAGTGGCATTATAACAAAGTGGAAGCTACTGGGAATGACAGAAACAACAGCAACTCGGCCAAAAAGTGGTAGACACATGATGGTCTGCACAGAGGTCGCCAACTTTCTGCAGTCAGTTACTACAGACCTCTAAACTTTACATCACCTTTAGCTCAAGAACAGTGTGTAGAAAGAGCTTCATGGAATGTGTTTCCCTGGCCTACCAGTTGCATCCAAGCCTTACATCACCAATTGCAATGCAAAGATTTGGATGCAGTGGTGTAAAGCACACCACCACTGACTCTAGAACAGTGGAGACGTGTTCTCTGGAGCAATAAATTACTGTTCTCCATTTGGCATCCGATAGATGAGTCTGGGTTTGCCAGTTGCCAGGAGAACCGTACTTGTGTGACTGCACTGTGTCAATGGTAAAGTGTAGTGGGTTAGTGGATTATTGTGTGGGGCTGTGTTTTAGGATTTGTTATAGCGAAAGGCACTTTTAATGCGTCAGCATTCCAAGACAATTTGGACAATTTCATGCTTCCAACTCTGTGGGAACAGTTTGGGGGCAGCCTCTTCCTGTTCTGAAACGACTGCGCATGAGTGCACAAAGAACGGTCCATAAAGACATGGATGTGCAAGTTTGGCATGGAAGAGCTGCACAGTGTCTTGATCTCAGCCTGACACAACACCTTTCGGTTGAATCACAGTGGAGACTGTGAGCCAGGCCTTCTCATCTAGCATTGGTGTCTGACCTCACAAATGTGTTTCTGGAAGAATGGTAAAAAACAATTCCATAAACACACTCCTAAACCTTGTGAAAAGCCTTCCCAGAAGAGTTGAAGCTGTTATTGCTGCAAAGGCTGGGCTAACATCATTTTAAACCCTATGTATCAGGAATGATATGTCACTCGTGTTCATATGCATGTGAAGGCAGATGAGCAAATACGTTTGGCAATATAGTGTGTCATAGCATCATACTGTAATGATTGTAACACATGCATGTTTATGTTCCCGTAGTAAGTTGAATCAAATGTCTGGATTTCACATCACCAAGTTGTGATTGTGACCATAAAGAAACAGAAGTGAGTGTAGGTCCTCAGCATTTTGAGAGTGAGTGCGTAGAGCCAGTTACCAAACCATTTCATTAATAGCCATAACACATTACACCATGTGTTATGGCTATTTTCTTTTTATAGTCATTTAACACCTGAGCCATTACGGTGCCCCTGTAGAAAGCTGTATTGATTAGCATAGAAGCCTATTGTCTAGAAGATGTAGTACTTGGAGTATAGCTGAAAGCTTTCTTCATAATCCAGAACCATCTCTAAAGTGGAGAGGACCTGCTTGTATGAGGGGGGTATGTGAAAAATGACCATTCATCTCACCCCTCCATAATAACTGTTAGTCCTAAACAAATCAGGTGTCTGTGTCAGTTTCATCTCTGTTAGTCTCTATAGAAATACAAGTGTCTTAACCCATTGTGGTCCAGCATGGTTGCAGAGTTGGAGCAGATGTAATGATAGTTCAACACATTACTGTGCGTAAGGCAAAAGTCTGTTGGCTCATTCTGCAAGACAAGTGGTGGACATTTGGACTCATGTTTTGTTTGTTTGTTTGTTTTTATCCCCCTTGCTAGATTCTGATCATTTAAGGTGGCAAAATAAACAGTGCATCACCCTGGGCACATCTGATAGTTTAATTTTTGTGCTTGCAGATGCAGTGCCCTTGTTCTTGCGACTGCTACACTCTCCTCACCAGAACGTATGTGAACAGGCTGTGTGGGCTTTAGGAAACATTATAGGTGAGTGTCCCTCTATGATAGATGTGCTTGTTTTTTATTTTGTTTTTATTTATTTTAATACTGCTTGGAAGCAACCATCCAGAGTTCTGTTGACCTCTGCCCCCTTGCACAATCAGGTGATGGGCCACAGTGCAGGGATTATGTCATCTCTCTGGGTGTGGTCAAGCCCCTGCTTTCTTTCATCAATCCATCAATCCCCATCACCTTCCTCCGTAATGTTACCTGGGTCATTGTTAACCTCTGCCGCAACAAGGATCCACCACCACCCATGGAGACTGTGCAAGAGGTGGGTGTGACTGCATGTGTATGTGTGTGCGCGTGCGTGCGTGTGTGTACCAGCTCTCATGTGCCATACAGATGGTTGTTTCTTTGCATTTGACTCTGTCACAGCAGGCTGAGTCACGCTGAGCTTTTACAGCACATTTTCAGTAGCCAAATCAGCCTCTTCACCCCAGGGAACTTCTGACTAGAAAGCTTTTGCTGACAATTGAAGTCTGGTTTTGACAGCTGTTCCTCTTGTGATGTTTTTTTTCTCCTGTTTTTACCTTCATCTATTCCTTTGCCCACTTCCAACCCACTCACAACCTACTTCTTTCCCCACAGATATTGCCTGCCCTCTGTGTGCTGATATATCACACCGACATAAATGTAAGTATCAGGCTGTGCTGTGATTACTCAAGTTATGGGTTTACTAATGTACATAAATTATAAAGACAAAATTTAGTGCTTAGTTTTTTCAGTTCTAGCAGTATAGTAACTGTCTCAATTCTTACGTGTTCTGACTCTGTGTATAGATCCTAGTAGACACAGTGTGGGCTTTGTCCTATCTGACGGACGGAGGCAACGAGCAGATTCAGATGGTCATTGATTCTGGAGTTGTTCCATTTCTTGTGCCTCTCCTCAGCCATCAGGAGGTGAAAGTTCAGGTAAGACTAATTCAGTCCTCCCACCCGGTCCACACTCTGAAGCCAATTTTTATTTGAAGTTGTATTCCTCTTTTGTTCACAAACTACAGACGGCAGCTCTGAGGGCAGTGGGAAACATTGTGACGGGGACAGATGAGCAGACACAGGTGGTTCTCAACTGTGATGTTCTGTCACACTTCCCCAACCTGCTCACACATCCTAAAGAAAAAATTAATAAGGTATGAGATCCACAGCCTCAGCCTTTAAGCTCATTATGCTTTTTCTTCTAGTTTCTTATAGCTTTACATTAAAGTAAATGGAGAGTAAAGTAGTATTTATTGTACAGATAATGTAACGGGAGCAAGTTTTTTTGTTGTATGTAGTTATTTTATTTAATTACACTCAAAGTTAAACTGGTACTAATCTGTACTTAAAATCCATTATTTAGGTGAAATGTTAAAATATTTTTTATTGAAGCAGATTCATTCTATATAATACACTGAATGCAGTCTTTTTTTGACCATTTGTGATTGGTCTGTTTGCAGGAAGCAGTCTGGTTCCTGTCCAACATTACAGCTGGGAACCAGCAGCAAGTCCAAGCTGTGATTGATGCTGGTCTGATTCCTATGATCATTCACCAACTGGCTAAGGTTTGTGTGTGGTTAGAAATTGGAGGAAAGGGGGGGGGGAAAGCTCAGGATTTTCTCTAGTTTCTGTTCAGTTCTGTCCCCGAATGGTACCAGACACACGATGTATAAATTCATCTTGGCATTTAGTTGCACTGCTACCTTTTTATATTTTCTAGCCAGAAAGCAGAACAGTTTCTGATAGTAGACATGGAGACTGAATGCATATTTGGCCTACATATTGTGTGTATTTTGGCAATTTGCTGTGTAGTACATTTTGGTGACAGCCTGGCTCTCTACAGGGTGATTTTGGCACTCAGAAGGAGGCAGCATGGGCCATCAGCAACCTCACCATCAGTGGGAGGAAAGACCAGGTGAGCTTGGCTTGTGGACCAGACAAGATTTTTTTTGTACTTGGTTTAAAAAGATTTGCTACAGTGAAATGGGTGTATGTTGTTTTAATGAAAAAAACAAACTGCATTTCTTCACTGCAGTAGGAAATGTTTGCCTCATTGTTTCTTTCAAGAAGCAGAAAAATAATAATTGTAGGCTGAAGCTACACAACATTGACTTAAGTTATGAAGGTCACTGTGAGTGCACTTTCCACACTTGTAACCATGTACCTATGTTGTAATCAAGTATGGATGTGGTGTATGTGTGGGTTTGTGTAGGTGGAGTTCTTAGTGGAGCAGAATGTCATCCCTCCGTTCTGTAACCTGCTGTCCGTGAAGGACTCCCAGGTGGTGCAAGTCGTCCTGGATGGCCTGAAAAATATTCTCATCATGGCAGGAGATGAAGCCAGTACTATTGCTGAGATCATAGAGGAGTGTGGAGGTCTGTGTTTGATGGTTTCCTTGTACCCTCTCAGAAACTTGGTGTAATTGGATTGTTTATCTTACTGAAGTTTTTTATAATGTTTGTTTCTAAAACTGTTGTTTTGTCTCTTTCAGGTTTGGAGAAGATAGAAAATTTGCAGCAGCATGAGAATGAGGATATCTACAAACTAGCCTTTGAGATTATTGATCAGTACTTTTCAGGAGACGATGTGAGTTAACCGCCACCATGCGTCTCACTTTCTGTTATTTTGGATTTGTTTTCCTTTTTGGGCAATGTCTTACTCTAGCATTCGATCTTACAATGTTTGTTCTTTTTTTTTTCAGATTGATGAAGATCCTAGCTTGATTCCTGAAACTACTCAAGGAGGAACCTTCAATTTTGATCCAGCTTCCAACATGCAAACAAAGGAGTTTAATTTCTAAAAACCAGGATGTTTGGTTCAACCAGTTGCACGGGTACTCTGTAATCACCCCAGACATTCATCCATCTCTCCTCCAATCTGGCAACCTGGTACAGAAGGATATACTTAGCATCACGTCAACATGGAAACTCACCACTGAAGGGTTTACCCACCCCCATCTCTGCACTATGGGGTGTTTTTGATTTTTTTTTTCTTCTTCTTTTAAATGGTCATCGTTCACAGAACACTGCAACCCTTCATAGGAGTCCTTGTTATCCAACAGGCATATTCACCATCTGGCAACCTGCATCAGGAAGATTGTCAGTATTTTCTGCCAGTGCTTCTAAAATGTCACACAGAAAGGAAACCAGAAGGAAGGAAAAGCCTTCACGGAAAGATTCAATTGCCAAATGTCAAGTTCTCACAAAGACGGAAAAATATAAGCACATTTTTAGACACATGAACACGCATGCATATACACGCACTTTTTTTTTTGACACTTAGAAGAATTTGTGTGCATACTTCAGTTAGAAGCCATCATATCACTCATGGGGAAGAAATACTGCTGTTTGTTTGTGCTTTATTTTGTGCTTTCCCCTTCCCTGGATTGTCCTCTAGTGTTACTTCACCCATGCACACTGACATACTACAAGTACATACATTAATACATTTCGTGACACTGATTCCTGATAGCCAGGGCACACCAATATCCTCTCTCTCGCCCAGTTTAAAGAGTTAATCCCAGAGCTTAGCCATGATTAACCACGGACCCCCACTGCCCTCCCAGGAGAGTCCTTGGGCAGGTGGAGGGGCGAAAGGGCTCTAAGGCAACAAGAGGACTCCGTGGCAAACTGACTGACGGGACTTCTGACTCAATGGCGTCACTTTTTTAATGTGACCTCTGCTGAATTATCAAACTTACTGTTCGTTTTAAAAAACATCAAAAATGTGAAGAAAATGCCATAATTCTTTTTTTTTTTTTTTTTTTTTCCCCCAATACAACTGTTAAGACCTGCTAATTGCCTGCTACTGATTAAGCAAAGCGGCAAAATTTTTATTTTAACGGATGTGAATACCTGTCACGGGAGGAATCACCTTTGGGCGAAGGCACAGAGACTTAAGAGGAACACGTCAGCTGTAGCGTTTATCTCCCCCCGCCACCCACAGGACATCCTCCTTCTGAGCTCAGCCACGTCCTGGGATTCAGTAAACTATTTGCTCGGGATTCCCCTGTAATGTGAAACTCTGAATGGAGGGAGGGGGTTTAACGAATAGAAAGAAAACGACTTAAAGCTAAAATCATCCTAATTGCAATATGACCTTTTTTTCTTTTCTTTTTTTTTTTTAAAATTTCGCTACAGACAAATTGGTTTCATGTTTCTGCTTCTACTGGTTGGGTCTGTGGAGCTTCCTTTGTATTACTATTTTATTTTTTAGGTTTTCTTCAGTCTTATGCACACGTCTGAGAGGCATAACGATGTCTGACTGCAGAAACGACAAAAAGGACCTACACTCACTGAAGACTAGACTTGTACAACGAGTGCAGGACCTGATCTTTACATTACTTAACTACTTTCGATAAAGAGGTCACATGTCATCACTCAATTTGAATAACTGTACAAAAACATGATGTGTATCTCTCCTTGCCGTCTAATGAATATATATTTACATAAAGCCTGTACAAAGCTGCTGCAGCTGACAGTCATTGGAAGAACGATAACTGTCAAAGATGGCTGGGGAGGGTCTCTATTTTTTTTCTTCTCCTTTTTGAAGCAATATTTCTTTTATTGTTTTTACTTTCGACTTGCATATGTATTGTGATGACATGCTGATAAATTGGAACAGGCTGGTTTTGTTTTTTCCTCCTCTCTCTGTAGTGGTGACGGGCTGTTTAAAATGTACCATGCCGTGTCCTGGTTAATGTGCAGGCTTGGGGTAAATGTGTCAAACTTTAATCCCAATCATAGCCCTGGTCTGGAAGACTTAATGATCCCACCCCCCCGGTTGGCTGCTAACTACTTAGAGGGGTTCAGAGCTGGGGTTTGGGGTGGGGATTGGGGGGGTGGGGCTGGGGGTCACATCGGGGCTTTAAATACTGAGTGGGCTTGTTATGAGCAGCCCAGGCGTTTTTGTTTGTTTGTTTTTTGGTTTTTTTGGGACTAGCTGTTTATTACTGAACAAAACTATAGAGAGGGTGTACAGTCATGAACTAGCAGACTAGACCGAGCCACTTTAAAGATTTACAATTTCGTTGCCTTGTATCCGCATTGGATACAAGCTTATGTTTGTTGCAAGATTTTTACTTGCTAATGAAAAGTTGTTTTAAATAAAATAATAGGAGAAAAGCAACAGACAGCGTTTTGGCCTCTGATTGTTTGTATCTTTTTATAAATTTTAGATTGAATTCTTCTCTTTAAGGTGGCTCACTGATGCTTTCAACTCTTGTGCATATTAAAGACGAGAATGAGTTGAAAATCATTGTGCCTTTTGTTTTTCATTTCAACTACAGCTAGGTTTTATCGAATAGAAACGAGACTGAGTGACTGGAGAATCTCTAAATAGGGGACGTGGCTTTAGTAACGCGTAGTCTCCTTGTTGTTGGAGTTTGCCAGTAGAAATGGTCAATGCTGCTCTCCGCTGTTGGAGAGTAACTTGCTTCCCTTCTAATGTCACTCACTGAACATTGTATGACACCATGCATCCCGACCATTTACCCCCCCCCCCCTTTCTCTTGGAAAAACCACAAGCCATCATTGCCATTTTTCAGTTGGGGGGGATTCTGATATCTCCTCTTCATCTTTGACCCTCAGGACATGATCTGTGTTTCTGATCCTAACCAAAATAAACTTGCTGTTTAGCCGTTGGATCTTTCGTGCTTTTGTGACTCACACATATGGTAGCTGTTTTAAGTTGTATGGGTGCGAGTTGCTTTCTGCAGGGATTCATTTGATCTAAGTGTTTGTGAGGAAGATTGAACTCCCTTTGAGCTCAGTTTTTACGTGCTCTGAATATATTTTAAAGATGAGCATCGCTTCCTTTATGTGACTTTAGCAGCCTGACCACCTTGTTATGACAAAGCAAATGTAAAGTACTTTCTCCTTTCTTTGGCTTGTCCTTTTTATAGGTCAGACATTTCAGCAGCTAATTGGATGATATTTATTTGTGGTTCATGGCTGTCTTTCAAGTAATTTTTAGACTTTACTCTGCCACCCTAATGTAGACTATACCAGACTTTTGGCTCTGCTGTACATATTCACAACTGAAAACTAGATTAGAGGAATAAATGCCTCATTTGTGCTGTGAATGTTTCCGTTAGCCGAATCCTTACGTGAGTGTTGATGAACACACTGGCTCACTCAATGATTAACTTGGACAGCAAACACTGAATCTGGGTTTCCTGTGGAGTACAAAAAGAAGCAAAATAAGATAAGAGGCCTCCAAATGGAACGTTAATCCTGCTTGACCCAGATCCAAATGCACCAAGTTAACCGCGTGGGGAATTGTTTTTTTGTTTTTTTTAGGGGGGTGAAGTACAAGTATTTTACATAACATGGTGCATTTTGGAAGAATATGTAATCAATAACTCTAAAGAGGCACAGCAAATCTGAGAATGGATCATCTCTTGAGCGAGGATGCTAACTTCTTTCTTGACCTTTGGAAGAACAGGCGACTAAAATGTCCACTTAGATCTGAAGGTTTTGGTTGCATTACAAAAGCTTCCTTTGCAGATCCGGGCACTCAGTTGTCTTGAAACTTTAAAAAAAACCTGACAAAAAAGAGGGAGAGACACTCAAAAGTATATTTCAATGATGAGAAAATGCAATCAGAGAAAGAACGACCTTTTATTATAGAGAGGTAAGGCAAACTTTATTTTCAGAAGATGTTTTTCCTGCTGATTCTGGTACCTCTGGGTAAAATCTGATTTTTATTTATGTAGTCTGACATAAGCAATGTACATAACTGATGTTTAAGACATTAAAGAATACAGTACTTTAAACTGTGCGTCAGGATTGTTCTTTACACTTCCAAATAACAGACACAAACGCACTACTAGTCTCCCCACCGCATAAAAAAAAAACAAAAAAAAAAACTCCCTGAGTAGAAAAATATTAATTCTGAAATTTGGGCTTCAAAAGACCAGATGTCTCCAACTTCAAATCCTAGGTGTTTATTAAGTTCTGGTTATATCCATGTTGCATTTTGGATACGGCATAAAAGAATAACTATCTAACAAAAGTCTTATTTTTCTTAAACCTGACCAAATATTCCTCTATATTCCTCTTCGGCGAATGAATGCGAAATCTAGTGTACTACTTGGAGGTTAACTGCATACTAATCTAGCTGAAAACCACAGCTAGATTTGGTAGGAAAATGCGAGGTGGGGATAGAGGCGAAAGGGAAATATTGGTGAAATCTGCAATCGACTGCGCTGGTCTTAGAATCACGTGACATTATTTTTCTCCTCACTTCCGCAAATAAACGCACTTGAGCACGGCGGCCACGGCAGAAAGTGAAAACGGACTGTCAGCCGTTATGTGCCATGGTGAGGCGGCCAGGAGCAAGCGCCAACGGCCGTAGAAGCGGACCTGCCTAACGGGTGAGTCAACGAGAACGTATTAATGTTGTAGCTTTTTAAAAAAAAAAAAAACAATCAAACTGAAATGTGGTTTGTTTGTTTTTTAAAATCTTAAACGCTAGCTGTAGCCAATTAAAAGATAAGTTAGTACCGATTTTCCCGGCGGGTACGTCAAGTACCAGCTGCATTCACGGTGTGTTATGATGCGTCAGCTGGACTCACTGTGCTGAGTAATCCCTTTGTTAACAATAGCAAACATTAAACAGCAAGCTGTGGTCATGTAACAGTAACTACGAGTGGTTTTAATCATTACACATGATGCAGGTGGGAGGGGGTGGGTATTTACGGGATGACGCCTGTGTTGTGTCAAAAAGGGATTTCCGGCATTTGTCAAAAATAAATGAATAGTCCGTCTTTAAAGTGTTGTAAATTACTTGTCAAGCGTATCTCTTCTGAATGACACCAAGTTAGTTTTAGTCAGAAAGAACATTCATGTCATAAGGTAGACGCTTTTAACAGGGGGAAAAGGCTCTTATATATCCTTTACTTATCCAGGGAGAAAGTCTGACATTTAAAATAGCTTTTTCAAGAAAAAGCTAGCCAAGAGGGCAGCAAAAAAAATAGAACATCACAGTTCTTTTGGGATATTTAAAGTCACCTTAAAGGTGCGGAGCAATTGTAATGTGGGTGCATAACACAGAGTCATAAAGATTATTGCAACAAAGGTCATTTCTTTATTTTATATATGACCCCTTTATAAATCCTGTTGATTACAGTCTACCAAAATAAGCAAAGATATTACACTTAAAGTTTTAGTTAGTGTTTAGCACAACACTGATTTAGCCGTGTTGTTACCAAACAAAGAACCTCTGTGACCCGGCTTACTACGCTTTTAACACCCATTTTATCTGAAAACCTTAAGACCTTGAGGATCATAAGCTGTGTTTACCCATAACCATATAAGTGAGAGTCAAAACAGCATGTGTGTGTGTGTGATGTCTGTGATGAATATAAAGTAGAAGATTCTCCAAAGCAGAATTATACTTTTTAAAACTGAGTTAGAGTAAGCTACGGGGAAAATAAAAGTAAGGATGCAACGTTACATTTGCCCAGCTCGCAGTGTCATCTGATATCGGTTGTGAAGAGCAAAATGATAATTTTTGTAGCACTTGCTTGAATCTGAGCAAGAAGTAAAGGCTGTACACGTCATAATTCACCTTGCTGCTTCTGTGAGCAGTCACATCACCAATGAACGGTAGTGGCCTAGCTCCACTGGCATCCATATAAACTTAAACAAACAAAGCAATTATACAGAGCACAACATGTAGTGAAATGCTTGTGTCCGAGCTGCGGACAGGCTGTAGACGTAGCCACGCCACTTACATTGATCAGAAAGTTTGTTAACTTGTTGCCTTAGGTCCCAAGACTCGTATGCTCTAAAGATTTCCACTGACCTTAGAGAAAGAGCATTAAACTTTGCAGCTCCTTACTCCTAGAATCAGATGCAGGCCTTTTGGTCTTGCTGAGGTTCCTGGTGCACTGATTCTTTTAAAGAATGTAGCAGATTGTTCATTAGACTCCACCTAAAGTTTTTTTTTCTTTTAGATCTCTGATATGTTTTATTTTGTTTTTTCCACCTAATGATGACCTCCTCCACTTGCACTGATGTCTCTTTGGACCTCATATTTAAAATTACAATAAAAAGCAATAAAATGTAAATTAAACATTTTGTCATGAAATAACAAGTGAATAGCCTTTATCTGGCCATAAAACTTCTGAATATGTATGAAAATGGCTGTACTTCCAAAACAGCCATTGACTCTTTTTTTTTTTTTTTTAAACAAGCCAAAAACCCTTGACTTAAACCTGAAGCCCTTTGAATTAAAGCTACACTGAACTAACAATATATTGTGAAGAGATGATTATCTGGAAGACATTACAATTTTGCTTGTGTTTGTGTCCAGTGACTGCAGCGCTGGCAGCCTTGCCTCTTCAGACCTTCCCCCTCTCCCTGTCCCGTGTCCCACCTGTGGATTGAAGTTCATCCTTCTAGCCTGCCACCCTTGCCATATACTGTGAGGACACCATGGTGGATGTAACCAAGTGGCCCATTTTCAGCCTGATGGGGCCTCAGGAGCTCGCTTCCATACGGAAAGCATGCGTGTTTGGATCATCTGCTAATGAGGCCATCTACATTACCAATGATGATGAGGTGAGGGGTCAGAGGGAAAACGGGGTTGTGGTTGTGTGTTAATCAAGAGCAAGATGACTGAAAGCTTTGAAGCTTGCTTCATGTTGCATAATTGATAGTCAGATGACCTGTTGTTTTTCCACGTTTTTAGCCTTTAAGCTACATTTCATGTTTACATTATTATAATTTCATTCTGCCTAGTGTGGATTGTTTGAGTGTCCTACCTTGAAAACAGCTGTTGGGTTCAGTTTACAGCGCATTCAACTTTAATCAGTGGTAGAAGAAAACATGCTTACAGTAGGTAATCCACCACAGAGCATGCTTACACTGCATTGCATTTTTTTATGTCAGTGTTATTGTAGCATGATAAACAGAGACTGCCTCTCAGTAGCTGTGTGTTTTAAGCTGTAGTACTCAATATTTCTGACAATAGCTCCAGGGAAAGAACCAGATTTTTCATCTGGAGACCATAAAGAGAACCAAAAGTTAAAGAATAAATAACAATAATAACAATTTTAAATGTTGTATTGTAACAGCCTGATGTGTAAAGATTGCAGTTGAATGCTAGTGTTGAAAATCAGTTATTTGCCATTTTAAAAAAGCTCAAAACTGTTAAGACTTGCTGAAAAGTATTTATTCACATGATGTAACACAGAACAGCAACAGGTGCCTCAAGGCGCTTCACCTTATATTGTAAGGTAATAAAGACCCTACAATAACTCAGAGAAAACCGAGAAACCCCCAACAATCAGATGACCCCTTTTAGCAAAGGCTTTGTTAAAAAAAAAAAAAGTTTCGGAAAGAAAAGAAGGCAGGCTTTACAGGGATATTCAGTGTATCACGGTTCACAAAGCATTCCCAAGTTCTGCTGTCTGAACACTGAAAAGATGCTCCTGAAAGATGAGAATTATCTTGTAATTTTACAGCCAAAATTACAAAATAAGCTTAAAGGGTTCAAGACAGTTGTTTAAAAGGATGGATCTCTGGTCCTTTCATCCTTTTTTAATTAGTACTAAAACTTGCAGTAGCTAGCTAGATGATTTGAATTACTTTGATGTTGTTGGTGTTTTAGCTCAGTGGTTCTCCAGGATTCTGCAACCCAGCTAAGGGGTTTAAACATTTTTTAAAATAAAATTTATATACACAGTTTATACCGTGTTGTGTGTCGTTACCTCTTAAGATGTTGATTCCACTCTTGTGAAAGTGTTCGATTATGGTGATGCAAGGGGATCTTCACTGTGCTTACATATGCTGGATTCTGTCTATCATGGAGCACTGAGATTTATTACAAACCTTAAAGCTTTTAAGAGTCACATGCTGTACATTGCCTGCTTAGGTCGGGTGATCTGCTTTGTCATTTTGAAGACTCAACCACCGATATAGTCTTATTGATAATATCTTGGTCTGTTCCCATCTTACTGACTTACATTGATCAGAAAGTTTGTTAACTTGTTGCCTTAGGTCCCAAGACTCGTATCTTCTGTGTGCTCTAAAGATTTCCACTGAACTTAGAGAAAGAGCATTAAACTTTGCAGCTCCTTACTCCTAGAATCAGATGCAAAATGAACTACATTTAAGGAACTGGTCTCACTAAATGAACTTAAAGAGACTGCAGTTCCTTCAGCCTGAAAATGTTTTGCCTGAATATTATTACCCTCGTTACTGACACTGACTTATTATAAAGACTGTTGAGGTTTCAGGCTTTATTGATGTTTTAGTTTTACATTTTGGTTAGTTTTGGTTTTTTTAATCAGCTGTATTTTAGTGTAGTTAATTTGTGTGTGTGTGTGTGTGGGGGGGGGTTCTGTGTGTATTTGCATAAAACTGAGTTGCATAACACACACACCTCTGTTGTTTGTATTGCTGTCTTTCTTGGCAAGGACGTGGTTGTGAGTCATATTCTCCTGGTTAAATAAAGGTTAGCTAACTAACCAACTAAATAAATAAATGAATAAGAAAAAATGTTATTGTTTGGCCAGAAGAAATTCTATGTTAGTTTGTTTGTAAGGCTGCAAAAAATCACTCCTTTTGGTTTGTATCTTGGCACATTATCTAGCTCATAAGCATTAACAAATATTTGAGTCAGTCTACATTATCAGGTGATGCGAAACCCAAGCCAGCTAAATCAATGTTAAGATTTTAGGAGAAAGGGGGGTCCTTTCCCTGGCTCCTGGAAATGTGAGCACCTCTGCTTTAACACATGCTAAGTGGCTAAATCGTGGTACCACTG